AATTCAAATTTTCTTTAAAAATTCATTTAGACTCAAGATTTGAATAAACATTTGTCTGAATACATGAAAGGACTAACCATCAAAGTATTTCGTACATACAATGCATCTTGTACCTTCCAAATTGAGCTAAAGAAAGGGATGGAGAATGCTACTACTATAAAGGAGAAAATAGCAGCATATAATAAAGCAAACAGACAGGTTGCTATTTTATGTAACCATCAACATTCTGTCAGCAAAGATCATGATAATCAAATCAATAGAATTGACAATAAGGTATTTTTTTTTTATCATGATTATTGTTAATTTCTTAAATAAATTCACATATATGTATTCTTTAATACGTTAGGTTTGTGCTTTGAAATACCAAAGAAATAGATGTAAAATGGAATTGTTGAATCTTGACCCCAGGTTAAAAAAGAGCAAGCCTCAATTATTTGAACCAGAATCAGATATGGAAGAGGAATGGATAATTGAGCATGAGAAGCAATTGATGGAAAGGGAACGTTTGGCAGCTGTAAAAAAATTTGAAAGAGATAATGAAAAGCTTACAGGAGAAGGAAAGTCACCTAAACCTGATGAGAATCTTAAACAATTATTAAAAAACATTGATGAAAAAGAGAAGGTGTTGAAGAATGAACAAAAATCTGGAAAGGTCAGTCCAAGAAAAGGACAAACAAGTGAAAAACTCCAGATCCAAATAGAAAAATTGACAGAACATATTAAAACCACCAAGTTATTAAAACAAGATAAAGAGGACAACAAGTCAACTGCATTAGGCACATCAAAAATCCATTACCTAGACCCACGGATCTCTGTTGCATGGTGCAAAAAATATGATGTGCTGATCACTAAAATTTTCAACAAACCCTCCGCGAAAAGTTCCAGTGGGCATTGGACATAGATGCAGATTGGGTGAGTATTTTTTTTTTTAATTAATTTTATTAAATAATAATATATTTAAAATTATTTTTATTATTTTATAGGAATTTTAATTGTTGTGTAGTTATTTTTCATTTGGCTGTTTTTTGCTTTTGCTATTTTAAACTTGTGAATTTGTACATTGTGCTTGGTATTAAATCTCTGCCTGGTGGATGGTTATATTTTTTGTGCTGATAGAAATTTTTTTATAATTTAGATCTGATGGTAGTAAGGATTCTATTATCATCATCATTAGCTATATTATTATTATTATTAATTTAGATTATAAATATGAAAGCTACAATTTATATATATGCTCCCTCTATCAATTTCATTTTATTATAAAATAATGATAAATTTTAGTGATACGAAATAAACTTATTTTATTCCTGTAATCAATCCAAAGATATAAATTCATGCTAAGCTTAAAATCTTATTTTCACTTTGGCATTGACTTGGTTGTACTGGTTTTATTCAATTTCAATCTGATTGATACTTTTCTAGTTGATTATAATAATGATGTTTATAAAAATGTAACATCTGATAGTAATGTCATTATTACAAATAACTATTAATAATAATGTATATATTTTGCTAATAACGAAAATCAGAAATCAATTCCATAATTTATTGAATGGAAAATATGAATAAGATTATTAATATTTTGTTATTATATGGATCTCAGAATTACGATTAATACAAAAGCACCGTTGATATTTATTGATAGAGGAACATCACCAAAATGCCATATCTATCTGTCCAATCGGTGTATCTTAATATATAAATTCGTCGCGTAACTGCGGAACAATACTGATGCGAGTGTAACGTGATACGTTCATTTGCTCCACCTGCCTGTTTTATTTGTTTAATATTTTTTTAATTGATAAAAAGGTGCAAAATTTTTATAAAAAATTATGAATTATGAAAGAAATAATAAATACATAATTTGTAAATTATGTAATAAATGTAAAAGACCTTTTGAAAATGATGAAAGGAGTACTTACTTATATGTGACCATGAGTATCAATATCTTAGAAAAAAGCGCAAATACTGTAAAGATTATTACAAGAAAGGGATTTCAAAAATTTTGACCCATTTGTTGAAAAATTAGAAAATGTCCAAATGCTTTAACAAATTAAGATGTTGAAGAAGAAGAAGTAGAGGGGGAATCGAAAGAAGATGGTGGCAATGTAAATGCTGAAACAGGTTTAAACATGCATCTAGATAGGGAACTTGATTTAGTAAAATATTGGTAAACAATTCTATTGATTTATAATATATGCATACATACCATAACATATACACATATACACATACTTTTCACCTCTCATCCAAATCGTCTATCAATAGATTCTAATTGTGAAAATAACAAAAAAAAAAGTAAAAATTATTATTATGTAGCGTAATGATAGTTGTTGTACATGATATGACACAAAAACTATTTCAACTGTTAATAGTCAATGGGAGATTTATAAATTTTTTTATATCACGAAAAAGTGTCTATATAGAACTCTGAACAACCTGGGCCAACTCGTAGGTTGACCTGTTGAAAAAAAGGAGACAAGTCACGTCGCATCTTGTTCAAACTGACGTTTAATGTTCGAGTTTTGAACAAACACCTTTTCCGTGTTAATTTTTGATCAACTTTTGCTTGGTACTGTTTGTTAAAAGTGGTAGACTTTTTTCCAAACAAGTGTTAAAGCCAATTTCTAAATTATATATACCGGATTTTGTTTCTTCAAGTTTTATAGAATCATATTTTTCTATATTCGTCCAAAATACAAACAGATATCAGATCAAGATGAACAATTTGATATGAATTTCATATAATATTATTATGCGGGATTTATATTTTAATATTAATATATAATTATAATAATATTATTATGGTAAGGAACTCTCTGAGTTTGATATCCAATTACCCGTGGCGAAATATCACAAATTTAAAAATAAGCTCAAAATTTAGGTTGGTTGCATTTCATCGTTTATATATATGCTCATCTAGTTTTCTCATGTAGGAACTGTTAGCATCGATGACAATCACCGATTACAAAGCAATCAAATGACGAGGCGGAAAAGAAAAATTTGCTCTTGGAAAACTAGATTACAAAATTGAACAACATCATAAAAAATTCCGGACTCCAAGCAAAACCACCGGCTTCTAAGTTATGGCCAGCCGAAGAATACTTTTAACACCTGGCTTATATTAATTTATTGCATTCAGAAAATCCATTGAATCTTTTTTTGTAATATAAACAAATTTATTATTTTTATTAATCATTGAAAAAAATAACTAAATAAATACAATAATTATTATATCAATCTATTACTATCTTTTAAAAGCAACTTTCTCACTCGGAATTCAATTGATCCATGAAAAATTAAAAATAAATAATATTTATGGAAAGCTCTAAATGCACTAATTATGATGATTCCAATATTTACTTAACAAAGCCAATATTTAGTTAACAAAAAAATGTTTTCTCACGAACATATAAATTCAAAGAAGCAACAAATTTTTTTTAGTCGTAATATTGACTGTCTTGAAAGTTCTCCCTATTCTTCTTTTTTTTTTTTCACATCTTCAATACAATAGTGTTTATTTTATTTTTTAAATGAAGTTTGTTTAAAAGTTTGAAAATTTTAAAACATTGAATGAATGGTATGATGGTGTTCCTTTTCTATGCCTCGGGTTTTCTTGGTAAAAAAGATAAAGGTCCTAATTGATTGGATTCTTGATAATCTGATCCTGATTCCGTCGGTTAGATTTCATATTTGGTGTTTTATTGTTTTCACGTTAGATTCTCAAACTTATCAACCTTTCTTCTGATTTGTATTATCCTTTGCAATTTTGTTACAACAACTATTTCTTCATTATTCTTATTCTACGCTATAATAGATTTTCAAGCTTCTACTTTCATCTTGTTTTTTATTATTATTATGTGATCTGGACAATTTTTCCATGTGTGTTCCAAATTCCGAATGTAATAGATGTGGTGATGTTGATTGTTTTTGCATTGAACCCAAATCTTCTCTTACATCCAATCCGGCTTTTAATGGCAAGTTCAAAAAATTTTCAAAGATGTAAGTGTGTCAGAATGATGGAATGCGCGGATATCCAACTACTATTAATAATCTAACAAAGTTCATTACTTATTGTATAATTTCCTATTGTCTTCATTCTGCAAATTGGGCATGTGGAACACTTTGCAACTGCGTTCCTCAGACTGTTGTTATAAAGACATTTACGGCCAGACCTGACCTATTGACATGATTATTCAGTGGTAAGTAATGATTCTGTTCTTTGAGGGATTCCAGATAATTAAATTGTAATTTTCTTTCTATCAGGTGCTTATGCATTACCACAAACTTGAAGGATCAAGAGATTGTTGTCACTTTTCAAGGAACCACTGATGTAGTAAATGTGATCAAGGATGTTGAAGTTTAGCGGTATCTACATCAACTTCTACACCTTCTGGCTATTATCCCCTTCCACTTGACATTTCTTATGCCCAAGTTCATTATGGTTTTTACTTGAAATAATTTACTATAATATTTGCCTTGATGATTAAATTTGTGTGTAATATCATACATATAATACTATTCAACACAATGAATTATACATCTCACACTAATAATATACTTATGGTGATGTTAGCACCATTATCACTAACAATTGCTGTGTTTTTTTTTGTCTAATACATTCAATGATTTTATTAATTACTTCTGCTAAAAATTCGTCAATATGAGAGACGGAAGAAAAATCTGAAATACAATGTAAAAATTCTTTTCTTTCAGGTGTCATTATCATGAATTCTATAAATTCGAGCCATTTGGACTCGTCCATCCATCTGTCCCAAGAGTAATATTTGTTGTATTTTATAATATACTATCAAACTTTTGATTCACAATTCCAACTTTACTATCAACATTCCATGAGAAGATGAATTATATCCAGGGTTTGATTTTAATAAGTTAACAAAAAAAAAGATTTCATAATTAAATGGAAGTTCACAACAAAAAATACAATAGTCAAAGCTACATCAACTTGTTGTTGATGTGAAGGTTCAATTGATGTAGAACCATAATAGGAATCAACTTTAGATTGTCAATCACTATTAATTTTTTTATTATTTGATCTAGACTTCACCCAATCATTGGGGTGAATCACCACAAGAGTTGACGTGCATATTATTCACAATGATCAAATTATAATATTGTTTAATACCCTCTCCACATTTATTGCATTCATTTGCTAAATGAAAATGTAAAACTTCAAGTTTTGCGAATGACCATCTTTTATGACAATGTATACATTCAACTTTCTTCACCTTGAATAAATCGTCTCCATATACCAGTTTATAGTCATTTTCAGTATTTACAGAACTATTGATACATTTACATATTAAAGATTTGACACTTGGTTGCAAATAGTATGTCAACTTGGGTTTCTAGATACGACTTTCGTAAATCTGATTTACAGACAGCATCATTAACTCACTCCATCATCATCACCACCATCATAATCATCAAATAAAATACTCGTGACATTTTTGTCATCACCATTACCATCAGAATCTAATTCTGGCAACCTTGCCTTTAAATTTCTTTCTCGATTTCTTCATCTGATCTAACATTTTCATTAACAAGTATCACTGTATCTGGATCATCATCATCACCTTCATTTGTCTACAAAACGCATTTACATTTTTGGTAATCTTGTTGTAAATGAGATGAGAATATTGCATAAAATAATTAATGGATGACATTTAATGAACCAATGGTTGATGGGGTGCAAACTAAAGTAAACTCAACAGCAGCAGTTGTGGTTTTCCCTACGAAGCCACTTATAACTACTTGGAGGTGTTTCTATATGAGACATTTCCTATCAAAATTCTAGATTTTAGGATGTTCCCAAATAAAGTTATTTTTGCCCTTATTAATATGGTGTAGATTAATTCAATCAACCATCTTAAAACCAAACATTGCCGAAAATTAGAATTTCCGTTGGTGTTAACTGTATCAAAGTTTTTGTATTTTTATTATTAATAAATTTCAAAAAGATTTTGGAAAGTATCACTAGGATTGATATTGTTCAATATAATGCTGCTTATGGTATTTGTTAAAAATAAATCTTGTCAAATATTATTTTTTCCATTGAAATTTATGAAAAATCGTTGTCTTTTGAGCTCTGTGATAATTATATTAAGTACTCTCTCTTTCTTTTTTCCTCTATTAAATCAACGTTATTATTTTCAACACGTATCATAAACACCATTATTGTCAACGTTATCATCAACGTTAACATCAATGTGTATCGTCAACATGTTTTCATGTTATCAGCAACGTGTATCATCAACACGTTACCATTTTTGTCAATGTGTATCATCAACACGTTATTATCAACGTTATCACTAACTAAATTGTGTACTCATACAAGATTGTAGAGAAATCATACTAATAATTCATTATTTCAAGTGTAAAGTGAGATCTGTTTTTCATAATTGAAATGCTTTTTATTTTATTTTTAATGTATATTTTGTATTTTTTATTTTTAATATATATTTAATTTTTAATTTATTTTTTTATTAAAAATAATAAAAGTTTTAACGTTACCATGCAACAGCTCCTCTGATCAGATACCCAACCGATATGAATATCCTCTCAACATGGAAATCCGTTACACGGCCGACCTCGCACACCGTGAGGAATGGTCAGTCAGAAGCCTACCATGTCTTTACTTATACCTTCAGTCTGCAAGGCGAATAACTGGATCTTACAGCTCCAACGTCAACCCCAAGATCCCCCATACATGGACTAGCGCCTGATTCCTGATCAAGGAGGCTTATGCTAATCCATATATAAGAAACCCTGTAACTGAAGATTGATACCAGTGATCAGCTAATATCGAATAATCAGCTATCTACCAATAATGCAAAAAATTTGAATTATATATTTACTGAAAAAATTTTTTTTTTTAATTATGGGATACTAACACACTCATTTAACAATATTTCATTGGATAAATTCTATTTACTAAATATATTTTTTTTTATTTCTTTATTATCATACAAACTAATTTCAATTCCAAAAACATAGAGTATTGCAACTGTGCAAAAGTCAAAAGGTTTCGCCATAAGTCGAAACTGGTTTTGACTTTCGACATATAACTTTTAGTTTTAGCTTTGACTTTCATCTCTTTGGTGACCGGCACTAATATAAACATAAAAAAATTTCAAAAATATACTTGACGACTGTTTTAACAATTATTCAATGTAGAAGTTGTATGGTGGCGGATTTGTGGGAAGTAACTGTTAAAAAACAAGATGCATGATTTATGAAGATTCCAAGTTTTGTATATAATATTTTCCTTTCTTTTTTATTTACGATCAACATCCATGAATCTATAACGCACATAATAAATGATATTATATTCTCCTGCTATAGCAGTAATAAGGATCCCATTTCAAAATAATCATTTATAATATAATAATTATTTATAAGTAAAGGAAAATAGAAGAAAATAGTTGTCAAGTATGTCGAATTAATAAGTCAAGAAAACGGAGAGGGTTGTCAGAAGTTGCATCAAAAAAATATAATAATGAAAAGGTAAAACCTAAATACAGGTTTTTTTGTTCTTTACCATATATTTAATTGCGAAGTTTTGATCGTCCTTTACTTTTGACTTGAAGATTTAATGAATCAGATTTTTCTTTATTATCAAGAAGTTTATCAACACGCTTTTTGTATGCACCGATACCATCGCCAGCATCATCTAAATTAGACGGTGTAAACTTTTCTATATCAATATAACCATCATCTTCAGATTATGCATGTTTTCTGAAACTGACATATTTGGAAATGGTATGCTTTAAGCTTTGCAAATGATTTCTTTGTTTCTTTAATCTGGTTTTTGAATGTTTTATGCAATACATTATAACTTCATTACAACGAAGTGGTTATAAGAAAATTTCATTTAAGATTCGTTGAAACTAGAGTAGATTCATTGAAACAAGTATGCATGTTGATTGATAATCAGAATAATTTATAATAATAGGATTTATTATGAATTTCTTCTAAAACCGGTTTACTTTTTTTAGATTTTTTAGCTTCTACCAAGACATCCCCAAATACATTGATCATCATAATAATAATAACAAAAAAATTATACTGTTTCGTAGCTAAAGTTCTAAAGATTTGCAGATAAAATTTTCCAGTCCAGAACCTTATCATCAATTAAAAATAAAATAAATTTTAGAAAAACAAATTTAACATGATAATTGCTCTAAAGCCTGCATAATAATATGTTTGTATGTGATGATTTAAAATTTTCTTGATAATTTTTATTACGTGATTTTTATTACTTTTTAGTTGGAATAAAATCACCATTGTTTGATAATAAAAATTCTTTGTTTTCCTTTATCTTAATAATATTATTATCGCTATGCGAAATTATTATAAAAACCGTGCGTTAATGTTGTTAACTTATATTAATTATTATTAACTTATATATTATTATTATCCTCACATTTAGATGTTTCGTAACATATTTTTCTCAAAAATTTTTTGCATTGTTATTGAGAAAGATTGAGATTCCTCCCAATCGGTACGAATGTAGAAATCATCCTCGTTAATCTCCCGTGGAAAAATAAACATATTCTAATTACCAAAGTTGAAAGCAATGTTAAAAACTCAAAATCTTGGCTCTTGATGTTATTGTCAGCTATCCAACTATTGTAAAACTTGAGCATTTAATAAAATTGATGTATTGAGACAACGTTCTGGTCAAAATCATCCTAATCGTCATTCATGGATCAAAATTGGCGATAATTTCTAAAAAGGATTATTACATTTATCAATTCATTTTATTTCTTGGCTGACTATAAAGTAAATGTATAAGTCCATCCTTCTATGAAATGTCATTGCATATAATTCATCATCCATATATTCAAGAGATACTTTATGCGATTTAAATAATCTTTGTTTTTGTCTAATTGGCACCAAAATAATCTCGCCTTGTGAACATTATAAACATTATAAAAACATCACCAATTCACCTATTCTCGGGAAACAGCTACAAATCCTTCAATAATTATTGTTAACTCAATTTTATCTTTGTTTAAATAATTGATAATTATTTGTTCTAATCAACAATAATTAATAAAAAATGCTTGCCTTCAATAGTGGGCTTTGTTACGTGTTGTTTATTGGACCCTTTTTTTGATTTCTTGCTTCACAAAAATCAACTCTATATTATAAAATTGATGAAATAACTATATGAATGCTTTATGACAGTGACTTTGTTACTGGTGTTACTTGTTATTTACTGTTTTAAAGTCTCTATTCAAATAAAAGTTACTATTTGAATTATTTGTAATTGTTTGGTTGAATTACAAACAGAAATTTTATAAGAAAAATTTTTGATGAAATAATCAATAAAATAGAGCCAAGAAAATTAAAATCAAAAATAAATCAATTCGTGATAAAAAATACCCCCAAATTGAAAAAATCTTAATCATCATCTATTTGATAAAAGAGCGAACTGGATCCAGATTTTTCTTTTAACAAAATGGCTCTTGAAGTTCATGAATTGCTTGAACAGAGAGGCGTTGCAGCCTTCTATCAAATCTAAGAGAAAACATTAGAAGCAAACCCAACAGTGGGTTGATAAAGAGAAAATGACAAAGATAATGAAAGCAAAGAGGATACGAATATCAATAATAATATTATCAATAATAATAATAGTAAAAAGAATAATGAAAGTTAGATTTTTGTCGGAGTGCCCAAATACTCACAATGGTTTTGGGTCTGACAATTTTAATTTTTCATATAAATTCCAAGTCATGTGCCAATGATTATAACTTGTTTATTATTGGTCCAAATTATACTTTTAAGAATGACAACCATTTAAAAAAAAAAAGAAAACGAGTACAATGAAACAAAGAACTTGAATAGATTGGAAGAGAGATTTGGAGAATTGAAAAGGGGAACAAAAGGAGAGTATATCAACGAAAAAGAAGATCTAGAAAAAAGGGTAGAAGGATTGGATGGAACAAATGAGCAAATTCTTAAATTGCAGAATAAATTGCTTTCATTAAATGAAAAAAAAGGTAATAAACAAATTGTGTTAAAAAACTATACAAAAAATCATTTTCTCTTGTCCCATTTCATTTATTTATTATTTATCCATTTACAACTCTAATTAACTCTTACTTTCTTTGGTTTTTTTCATATATTCATCTATCCATGGATGACTTAACCATCAGAAAAAGATATACATATTTGTTTCATTTCCAATTTGGTTTAAGCTAATATTTGTGAGTTTAGGTTTAATGCAAGTTTTTGCCATTAGATTACAATGTTTAGTTTATCCAATGACTTCAACTTTTTTTTGTTTTGATTTGGATCTAAAAGAACTAACTATCTTATTCCCAATTTCATTTTCAATTACCTGCCTTGTGATCGGTCAAACACCTTACCAAATTCAAACATTATCTGTTTCTCTAGTTTTCACTGTCATTTGTCTACCTGTGAAGATGCTAGTATCATCATGAGAAACATCAAGGATAGAACCTCAGAAGATGAACTCCATTTTCAAGATGGTAGCATTCTTCATGTCATTTCCGGAAACTGCAATACCATCACTTAAATATCATTAGTTATGATTGTTCTTCTAATAGTACACTCAAACGTGAGCAGGTTGATGCCTGTGTTGGCGATATTCCAATTGTCCTTATGGAAGAGAAGCAGCTGGATGCAGAGGTGGCAAAGGCTAAGCTTGATATATACAGAAAATTCCATTGGCCACCACATTACAAGGATTTATCATTTGTGATTGCTATTGCATTTAGTGGAAATATTGTGATCTTCAATAAATTAACTTGTGGAAAAATATATGTTGATGAATTGCATTTGAATCTTTCATTTGTTGAAGACAGAGTCAGGTATTGTATCTGTTTCTTTACAAATAAAGATTTTGCATACTTTATGATTAAAAAATTCAATGATAGATGCATCCAAGCTTGCTTTAAATATTAGTCATTACTGCAAATGCACATTTAAATAAGTTGGACCAGAACCATTATATCCATCTAACAAAATAATCAGATGTGAAATTGAACCATCAAGTCATTGGGGTTCTCATATCACAATCAATTATTCTTCAGTATTAAAGGTTTTCTTTTCTATCAATGATCTGGAAATCCAAAGGTCAGTCAATCTTATATGATGTGCGTTTTGCATTCATGTGATGAAGACCTACTGGTTATTTTGTTAATTAATTGAAGAATACAAAACTTTTATGTGAACAATAATATCCCTTTTCTTGAGACAGCAATAAGAAACGAGATCAAGAAAAAGGTGTTCCATCTTGAGCTCACACCGGTTGGTCTTCCATGTTCACCTAGTGATCTTAATACTCTTCAAGTTGCCATGTATTGCTTTGTTCATGCCCTTTTGAAGGTCCACCAAAATGGTTGGTCTGTCATTGATCTCAGATGTCCTAACACCATAGAATTCAATGGTTGCTATTGTATTATTGATGCTAGTGAATATGCTATACAACATGAACACAAATTCACAGTAAGCTATTAAATAAATTTGATGAAAAATCAATGGTGAGTTATCCAGCTAGTGATATCTACATGTTGAAAGAGATGATGAAGGATGTAGAAGAAATTTGGAGGTATAATTCAGTTTTGTGAAAGAATTGGATAAATGCTACTAAAACAATAGTCTTGAGTTAGTGTTAAATCATGGATTTCTTACTGCACCACTGATGATGGAATAGATGTAATTTAACATAGAAAGAAATAATAATAATATTGAGATTTTTATTTTTAATTTGGGTTTTATGATGTAATTTTTCATATCTCCCACTTGTGAACCAAAAAAATATATATCTGAATTCAAGGGTTGAAGTATTATTTATAATTTTGTTTTGGCAAATAAGATTGTAATTGTTCAAAAATAAAACACCTTTATTTTACTACAAAAACTACAATTTAATCATTTCAAATTTCTTTAATATTAAAAAAAAAACACGACTTAGCCAATTACCTTAGACAAAAAAATTTTACACCCCAAGAAGTAAAAGGCAAACTAGAAGAGTTTAGAATTGCCAAACAAAGGACTTTGAGCTAAAAAGAAAGAGAACAAGACAAGAGTAAGTATTGTTTTTTTTTAAAATGGTGGTTGTGTGCATTTTCATCATTCTAGTTTATTATTAAAAATAGATAGATTAATGAAAATATATCTAATGAATCTGATGATTACGATGATTATGATTCAGATGAAGAAGCAATTTTGAATATTAAGTTGGATGATGACTATGAAAAAGAGGAGGAAGATGAAGAGGAGGAAAAAAAGTCATCCAAAAAATCAATCAATCATAATAATGATGACATCAGCAACGATGACAATGATGATATACCAGACCTAACATTTGAAATGATTACAAAATGGCAAAAATCTATTACAGAGGTAATATTCATTCATTGTTTGTATTTATTATATATATTTTCCTAAAAAAAAATTAATAAATTTGGATTTATAGTCAAAATCTTTGAAATCAACACATCGATTAATCCTTGCATTTCGTGCAGCAGCTCACCTTAATGATGATGAAAACGAAAAAACTTATTCTTATAAGATAACTGATCCGACAGGTTTTTTTTTCAAATTATTTGAAATAAATTATCATTGAATTTTCTGATTTTAACAATAAAATTTTTTTTTGTCTGGTGTTGCTATTATTATTAGTATTTAATAATCTTCTTGTAATATGTATGAAATATATTCCTGGAGTTTTCAATCATCATTTAAAGGTGGAAGATACTGATGTATCAAAAAAGTATGTATAATTCTATTATCACGTGCACTATATATATTCACATAATATATATACTTACATAATATAATATACAACTTTTATTTATTGAATAGTAAACTTCCATGTTTTAATCATAAATGGAAAACTCTTGAACTAATGGTGAAATCATTTCTAAACAATGTTCTTTATATTCTTAAACAATTAACAGATAAGAATATGATTAATTTTTTTACAAAAGAGTCTGAAAAAATTCTTCATTATTATGCAAGTATTCCCAAATTGGCAACTCAATATCTAAAGGCTGTTTTACAAATTTGGGGATTTGCTGATGATAAATCTAGAATTTTAATTTTTTTGAATATTCATAAACTTGCGATTCTAGCACCACCACCATTTATTGATTTTTGTTTGAAAGTAAGCATTATACAATAAATTAATCGATAGACTATTAATAGACTAATTACATACATACATACATACATACATACATACATACATACATTTATTTATTTATATTATTTATTTAGAATGTATATACTAGTTTTGTCAGCAATTCTAAAGAGACAACAGCTTTTACCATACCATCTATTAATCTTATGGGTAATTGTGCAGTCCAGATTTATGGTATTGATTTCAAAAGTTCATATCAATCAGCTTTCAATTATATAAGACAGTTAGCAATTAATCTCAGAAACGCAATGAATGTTAAGAGCAAGGTATAGCAACAGAATAAACAAATTTTAAATTAATATTTTAATATTTATAAATGCATTGATAAATGACAATCTTTATTTATTAATGACAATCTCCATCATTAATAACAAATAGGATAGTCATAGATTAATATATAATTGGCAATTTATTCATTGTATTGAATATTGGTCAAGAATTTTAGGAACTTATTGTGATCAAAGAAGAATAGCCGAAGGAGGGGAATCTTCTTTACAAGAATTAATCTATCCATTTGTTCAAGTTACCATTGGTGTAATCAAGTATGTTTATATATATATATCAATTAACACACATGAATAGTTTATTAATCATTAATTAATAATATTAATTAATAGCTTAAACTCAACTGTAGAATATTTTCCACTTCGATTCCATTGTATTCGTTCATTAATTAATCTTATTAAAACTACTGGAACTTTTATCCCATTGGCAACTTTTCTTTTTGATATATTACAATCAAAAGAAGTTGTACGTTCA